ATACTCTTTTTGTAGCAAAGAAATCAGGCTTTTTAATAAAAGTTTTTAAAAAGTTACTGTATCAAGAGATTAAATTCACCATATCGAGAGAATTATAAACTGGTTTTGAGCTTAACTTATGATATCGAAATTTTAATTAGTTTTTTTTTCTTGTATATAATCCTCTCAATTTATTAAATCAAATAGGTCGTTTGTTAGTAAATTCTACGATAATTTAAATTTTAGATTTTTTTTTTATAAAAAAAAAAAAAAGTCATTCACTATGCCTCCTCTTTCTCATAATTTTAGAAGTTATTTTACTTTATTAAAAAATTCAAATAATTCTACAAATGCTATCGCAGTATGCAACTGGTGTATAAGAAAATATGGTGGATTAGGAATAGTGTAATTGAAACTAGAATGTTGTACTATTAATAGGGCACGTTTATGCCATAATCATTTATTGAAACGCGAAGCCTTTCGTGAAGCTAATACTGAAGAAAAAGTGCAAAGAATTTTAGCTTTACCAGTACTAGAAGATCAAAAAAAAACAAAAAAATGAAAAAGAAATGAAGAAACTGATAGTATATTAAATTTTTAAACCACTCGAAGTTATGATTAGATTCACATAGTATCATTGATATTTACATTACAATGTTTAATGTAGGTGAAGGATCTGATACTAATGAAACTATAAGTTTGCACCCAATTCGATTATTTCAACTGTTTCAAGCTATTCATCTATCAATAGTCGACAGTCTGCAATCACAAACTTTTTTTGTCGACCTCTTTCAGTTAATGATCAATCACGGTTCAAACATTTACTTTTAAGAATGATTGTTTTTAATGCAATGCCTTTTACATTTGTTGAAAATGAAGATACTATTGCTGTATTTGAGTTTTTAGTACCAGAAATTAAATTACCCAAGTGCAAAGTTATAGATGACAAAGTATTAATGAAAAGTATGTAATTGTTGAAAGACAATATAATCAAAATTGCTAAGAGTGATACGAATGGAGTAACTGCAATATTTGACGGCTGAACAAATGTAAAACAAGAACATATTTGGAGTGTAGTTTTTATAACTACAAATTAACAATCTTTAATATGGGGTGCAAATGATATTAGTTCCGAAAGATCACAAACGCAAAAATATAATCAATTACATTGAACAATTAATGACTAAAACTGAAGAGAAACGAATAAATATCAAGGTATTTGTTTCAGATTCTGCTGGTGAATATACAGCTACACAATAAAGTTTTATTTAATAATAATATTTTTTTTAGGATCATTTTAGTAATAATTTTTTTTTATTTTTATAGCCAGCAATTATGAAGAAAGTATCCTTCAAAGATTTTTTTACCGTGTATGGCCCACCAAATTAATTTAGTATTTGGTAAAATTTTCAAAGAATCATATCAATATAAAAGGACATCCAAGGAAGCAATAAAAATCATGTCTTTTTTTCACAAATCATCTTTTTTTTTGGGCAATCTTAGAGATGAACAGATGCGTATTTATAAAAAACCTATTGCATTAGTTGTCCCTGGAGATACAAGGTGAAATTCGTACTATTTTTGTTTTTATTCTATTTCTAAATCAAAATCCACACTTAAGATATATAATACTGCATTATTATATAATTTATGATCATGTATCTGGATTAGTATTTTAATTCAAATTTATTTCTTTTTATTAGTTTCTCTCATCCAAGTTTAATGACCATCGTAGCAATATTATTCGAACTTATGGTATCCTATCTGAGCCAGCTAATAACCAAACAACTCTATGCAATGGTACCTGACAACTTTCTGATAACATCGCTGATATTATAAATGATACACAGTTTTGAATAAGATTAGCTAATCTACAAGAACTTTTATATTCTCTTTGTGACTTTTTGAATAAAATACAAAAAGATACAGCTCGATTATATGAAGTTCTCTACTGTTTTGAGTATATTATAAAAATATTCGAATATCATGAGGATTTTGAATTCAGAGCAAGAATGAGAGTGTGCATTGAATCTCGCTGGAATGAATAGGAGCAACCACTAATAATTCTTTCCTTTGTACTACATCCTGAATACAAACTTACCAAATTCAACAGCATAGTTTCTGATCTATCTTGGACATATATTGGACAATAGCTCAAATATTATTATAAGGCATAGTTTAATTGTAAACCTATATCTATCTTGGCTGAATTAATAAAATACAAACGTGGAATCGATCTGTATGATGCAGAATCATTTAAACAATTTAATAGAAATTTAGTGGATTTTTGGGAGTCAACTGAAGAAGTAGGTCCAGAATTAGTATGAGCAGCAATCTGTATTCATAGTATTTGTGTTAACTCTGTATCTGTAGAGAATTTATGGTCTTTTATGGGGTTATTACATACTAATCATCGAGTCCAGTTGAAGGTTTGTTTATTAACAATTTATTTTTATTATAATTATCATAAATTAATGCTGATATTTATCATAACCAAATAATAGCAAAAAAAAGTCTTAGCAATGAGCCAAATTCAGAGTGATATCCTTTGGTCTCGTAAAATAAAGAATGCAAAAGAATATGATAACCAAGTTCGCTGACTACATACTGCGAAACCTATATTGTCAGATGATGAAACCCCTGAGCAAGAATTAATAATCACTGATTTGGATTATCAAGTGAGTAGTGACAACGAAGATAATGTTGAGGAGGAGACAACTACTAGATCTTGTAATTAGACAAATCAAAATTTTGAACATTTAGTTATGGAAGAAGAAGAAATATGGGAAAATCTAATTAATAAATAGATTGAGTTTGGAGATCGTGAAAATCAATTTGAAAACAAGGATGATAAAATTTTATTATCAAGTGATTAGGATACAGATTTTAGTTTAGAGGGATGAGAAAAACATCCTGCTGATGATGAAACAGCCAAATGGCCTTTAGATTCACTTTTTGTTTCTTCTTTAGAAATGCCAGTATATTTCAATTCAGAACTTGCTAACTTTTAATAGACAAGATATTCTTTTGTTAAAAAAAAACCCCCCCGTATTAGTGGAATTAGATCAAAAAAGATGGATATAAGGTATTCAATAATATGCTAATATTAAGGTTGAAATGATAAGTATAAGGCATTCATTATTGTGCAAAAATTGGAAATGCTAATAGAATTAGATAAGTGTAAAGTATTAATTAATCTACTGCAATAGGAATTGCTAAAATTGGAGTTAAAAAATATGAAAATACTTAGGAATTAGGTCAAAAAGACAAGTATAAGCATTCACTAATCTGCTAAAACGAAAAACACCAGTAAAAATATCAAGTATTCATTATCTGCTGAAATTGAGAAAATTCTGTAGAATTAGGGCTAAAAAAAAAAAAATAAATAAAATAAAAATAAAAATAAGGCATTCATTATTAAACTCTGTTGAAATATGAAAATTAAGTGGAATTGGAGCTAAAAAAGATGAATGTAATACATCTATTAATTAGTCACAATGAGAAATGTCAGTGGAATTGGAGCTGGCAAAGATGAATATAAGGTTCTTAGTAATTTGTTAAGACTATAAATGCTAGTAGAATCAGAATCTATGAGCATAGAACATTCATTAATTTGTTGAAATGGAAATGCTAGTCGAGTTAGTATTGAAAAAAAATGAACATAATAAAATATTAATTGGCACTTTTATAAAATATGCAGCTTACTTTATATTACGAATTTCAATTATTAATATATATATGTATATATATGTGTTATTAGAATCTACTTAGGTTGAAAGGGAATTTAATTAAAGTCAATATAAATTTAAAAGCAACCTAAGTTGATTCTAAATTCGATACTGTAATAGATGTATAATTGTTTTACATAGTTCTTATTTTTATTTATTCATTTTTTATTTCACTTATTTATTTTTGACGATTCTTTCTATTTGATGACTGAATTTCAAGATAAATTGCTTTTAGAATCTACTTACCTTTGGCTTAAATTGAATTAGAATTCATTATTAACTTGGGTACATTCTGGAATTCTATTACAACCTACATATATTCTGAATTAACTTAAATCAATTCTAATGCTAAATATATAATAATTCTATCCCCACATATGACACATATATATTATCATTAATTAAAACATGTATCCCAGGTATTTTATAAATGTTATTTATGGGTACATTTATTGTTTTTTTTATTGAACGGAACACAGAATTATTTCATATAGTTCATTTTTAATAAATGTCTTGTTTTACAAATTAAAAAAGTGCCTAAATGAGATATTCGTAAATAACGAGTGATGAGTCCAGAACTTTGATATAGAAAGATTAATTTTAAGGATTCTTGTTGTTTTTGTATTTAAATAGTTATTACCTACCTAAAGCAATACATAATACTCAGTTAATTTAAGAGTTTCTATATAACGATAGGCTAACTTTGAGTTAATTAGTATTGAAATTTATTAATTGTTATACAGTTTTTTTGGCTAATTTCTATTGGATAGAATTATGACCTAGGTTATAATTTATATCATATATTTTTATGACCTTATGACCTATGATGGTCATAAAGATCATAAAGGTCATAATAGGTCATATGCCAACACTGGTATTTTGCATTAGCATAATACTAATTTGATTTAGCTACTAACTAGATTAGAAAGATCTATCTTGTAAAACATTTAGCTAGAATTTTGAAGGACTAATCTAGTAGAGAGCTATAGCAGAAACTGAATTTATATAAATATTAACAAGTATTTAATTTAGGTGAATCTGTGAAATGAGTATATGACTACTCTGATAAGAATTATTTTTGAAGTTAACTAGAACTCTGTATACTCATAATTATATTAAGTAATATGTATCTTGAAAGGATCAAAGTTATACAGTAAATAGATCTATATACAAGTCAACTAGCTTAAGTGATCAGATGTAATGATAATATTAGTTTGAAATAGAAAGAAGAGTTAATAATCAGAGTATTTAAATAGATAACTCACAGGCAGGTTGCAGATATAACAATAGTGTAGAACTAATAGATAGTCAATTATCTGTATAGCAAACTACTTAAATTAGATAATGACTAAAATTATATATATAGCTTGTTGTATACTTATCATATAACTATAAAACTTTAGAAGACTACTCTTGTAGTAGCTTTGTAATAACAAACTAATAAAATCTAATCAGCCAAGAAAGTAGCCTTAATAATAAAAAAAAAAAATTTTTTAACAAAAAATTTTTTTAATTTATATTAACTTCTTTCCATTATTTGCTTAATGAAAAAAAAAGAAAATTATCTAAAATAAAGATTGGAGTAGCCAAATAAATATCTTTTACTTACATATACTCTAGTTATAGTTTTATTATAAAAATCTAAAATAACTATTTGAAGTTTGCTAATCTATATAAATTTTAAGCTAAACTTGAGCAGAATAATAATAACAAAACTTTACAAGTAATAATTATATTACTATCATGTTATTTATACTCACGCTTATTCTAATTCTTGGATTAAACTTCCTTCGTTTAGAAATTCAATGATTTGGATTTATATAAAGTCTACATATTACAGTATACGTACTAGCAATTTCCTATGCATTTGGTATAGTTTTTATTTCAAATTTTTTTTTTTTGTCTTTTAACTATTTCATTTTTTTTCTCAAAACTTAAATCATTCTGTCCTTTAGAACCTTCAATAGTTTCATACTACAATAAATTACATATATCTAGGCCAATTAAATCAACTTTCTATCAGTGATCAAAATTTTTAAATTTTGGATATTTCGCAAATGCGCTATAATTATTAGATGATTATAAAGAAAACTTCGTCAAAGTCTTAAAAATTTTGGAATAAATTTTTTCAAGCTTTGAGCCAACGATCACCTAACTAAATAATTTTTATTTTTAATTCTACAAGGAATTTAATTAAATGATTGAATTATCGAGAATACTCCACTCAAAATTTAAAAAATTGACATAATTTGTTTATAGGGATAATTATTTTAGGATTTGAGCGAAGTTTTCTTGACAACTAGATTAAATTTTCATGTCAATATAAATTTTTTTTTTTTACCTAATTTTACCTAATTTAAATTATACAACCACCTAATTAATCAATTGGCTTGCATGACCCTAGACCATCGACTCGATTGATCTGCCCCACTTTAAGGAACCCCAATTTGGGCGGAATCCGATCTATATAAAGATTGACAATCTTAAAAAAAAATTTTTTTAAAAAAAATGAATTTTACCAGACGATGTGCATCGAAAGCACGAT